CAGGAGTTGGAGGTTGCTGTGAGCTGTAATGCCACGGCACTCTACCCAGGGGGACAGCTTGAGGCTCTGTCTAAAAAAAAAAAAAAAGAACATTCTGACACGTGCTACAATATGAACGAACCCCGAGGAAATTACTCAAAGTGAAATAAGCCAGTCACAAAGAGACAATACTGTGTGAGTCCACATACATGACGTGGACCCAGAATATTCAGCTTCATAGAGAGAAAGCAGACAGGTGGTTGCTGGGGGCTGGTGGGGAGGATGCAATAGGAGTTATTTTTGAATAGGTATAGCCTTTTGGTTTTGTAACACAAGTTCTGGAGATCTGTTGAACAATGTGAATATACTTAACACTACTGACCTATACACTAAAAAAATTAGTGAAGGTGGTCAATTTTACGTATTTACCCTAATAAATACATTCTAACGGTCCCAAGCCCTGGGAATAGGAGTAATATACATTTCCTTTTCTCTGGAAGCTTACATCCTGGGGCAGGGTGGCAGAATAAGAAGGTTTAGCATGTGAACCAAGACAAAAGGTTTAGAAGACTTTCGGTGCTTTGAAAAATATATAAGCTAGATTAATCTAGACTCGAACATAGTCTATTTGGCAAACTTTCTTCCTAAGGCTAAATGGTAACTGTTATCATTATAGAACACAAGGTCTCTGAGGTAAGTACTCACCTCTGCTCTTGCTATAGTAGGAGAGCAGCCAGATGATTCCCAACTGAATACACATTTCTGGGTTCTAATAAAACTTTATTTATAAAAACAGTCAGTGGGCCAAATCTGGTGAGTAGACCACTGACCTCAAGGCTAGAGGGTAACTACTGGTGGATGAGGGTAAGAGGGGGTGGTGAGGTTAGTTTAGGGATCTTTAAAGTAACATCACATTTCAGAATCATGAGAGAAAAGTCAGCCGTGGAAGATCTGGGGAATGTTCCAGGCAGAGTTTTCTGTGCTGTTTGCCTGTGGAGCAAATTCCTCTTGCAAGGATACTCACCAGGGTTGTGAAGCCAGACTTTGAGAGCTCTTCACTAGCTGCTGGGGTTGAGACGTCTTCTACATGGGTCCCAAGGCCATCTTTTGTTCCTGGAGTCATGATGTCATCTTCTGGCCTATATGTGACTGCTGAAGAACACAGATTGAGCCAGGACTTATGGTGGAAATTGTGTGAGCAGACCTAACTAGCCAGCTACCATCAGATTATTTTCTTTCCCCCTTTTTTTTTTTTAAGAGACAGAGTTTCATTTTGTTGCCCTCGGTAGAATGCCATGGCGTCACAGCTCACAACCTTCCACTCCTGGGCTTAGGTGATTCTCTTGCTTCAGCTTCCCAAGTAGCTGGGATTACTGGCACCCGCCATAATGCCCGGCTATTTTTTGTTGCAGTTCAGTCAGGGCCGGGTTTGAACCGGCCACCCTTGGTATATGGGGCTGGAGCCCTACCCACTGAACCACAGGGACCGCCCTTCTTTCCCATTTCTTAAGAGGATCTTTGTGTGTGTGTTTACCAGTTGTTGGCCGGGGCGAGTTTGAACCCACCACCTCCAGTATATGGGGCTGGTGCCCTACTCCTTTGAGCCACAGGCACCACCACCCTGAGGATCTAGTTTTTAATCATTTTTTCTTTTTTGGGCTCATCCCAGTGCCAGGAACCAAACCATTCCCCTTACTAAGGCTCTGGCACACTAGGTGGCTTTATTATCTGCATTACAAAGCAAAGGACCCAGAAAGACAAAGCAGCCAGCTCTGGGGTTCCGCTGAGGTGGTCCAGACGGGGATTGCATCTTTTTTTCCACTAAAGAACCAGATTCTTCCTGGTACCATTTCATAGCATGAATTAATGCATTCAGGTTAATAAGGGTATATCACCGAGACCTCAAAAAATTCTAAATCACAGCCACCTGGGAAGACAATGGCCAAAACCGGGGTCTCTACCTTTTTAAAAATCAAGTTCTCTCTACATTTAATTTCCAGGCTGCCATCTGCTTAGATAATTAGAACCGTTGCCTCCAATCACAGACCACACAGATCCCATGCAGTTCAAACCTTTATTCTTAGGGGAGGGTCAGTAATATATTTGGAGATACCTGAGATACCAAGACGGCAACAGAATTCTTAGTACACGAGGAGCTAAACCGATGGGAGGGACGGGTGCCTGATGGCGCCAGTGAGAAAGGTTTCAGTGGAGCAAGGGATTGGTGGGGTGAAAATAGCAATTCCACAATGGTACACAAGGTAACAAGTATCTCGTTGAATGATTGGAACTAGCTGTGACTGTGCCCAGGAGTCCTTATCGCTTAGATCAAATCACCCTCTTCACAAGTTAAAAATCTGACTCACCGGCCACAGGCTTGCTCCTCAGACTCAAGTGGCTCTGGAAATTCCATGACTAAATACAGTTGCAAAATAAGGAAGCATTCGCATCCCAGCATCATGGAGGGAGGGGGAGCTTAGGGACATCTTCGTGTAAAGAAAGAGCCGGGGAGTTGATGTTTGTATGTAAGTACCACCCACATTAGCAATCCATCCCTTGCCTTAAGATACATTTTTAAGAGTAGGGAGGGCGAATGGTGGGATCTCACCTGCTGTGTACAAGGTGAGGGTGTTCGGCACACCTCCTGGGTAAAGGCGCAGTTACAACTTGAACCGTAACTTAGAATTGAAAACAATGTAACCTAAACATTTGTATCCTGTTAATCTGAAATAATAATAATCAAAGATACCTTGTTTCCCCCTCAGCTTAGACAGCCCAGGTAGAAGCACAGCTGATGGCTCGGTGCCTGTGGCTCAAGTGGCTAAGGTGCCAGCCACATACATCTAAGGTGGGGGGTTTGAATCCTGCCCGGCCCACCAAAAACAACAATGATGGCTGCAACCAAAATAGCTGGGCCTTGTGGCAGGCGCCTGTGGTCCCAGCTACTTGGGAGGCTGAGGCAGGAGACTCGCTTGAGCCCA